ATAGATATACATACCCTCAAGATATACTTAGATACACACAAATCTCCCGCATCCTTGTCTGTTCTGCACAAAAACAAAAACAAAAATAAAAACAAAAAAAATTATCTATTTGATTTTGATCATCACACCACTACCACCACCAAATCAAAATATTTGCTTCATCTTTCTTTCTTGTTCAAAATCTCGACTATAAAGCATCCTGTGTATTTTAACCTAATTTCATATTACAAACATCAAGATAAAAACTAAAATACCAACACAAATCATATATAAGCAACAACATTGTTGTTTGGCCACTGACAAGCAGAAGTTATAAATAAAAACAATAAAATTTTGAATTTATAAAAATCAAGAAACCCAATCAGTATAGGGAGCTCAAATTAGGGGTTGCCCACTTCTATTTTTGTAGAAACAAGAAGATTTTCAAAAGGGTCCAACTTGTCTCTAATTGGAGATCAAGACTAGACCGTCTAGTCCGGCCCGTAGGCCTATTTTTGGACCCTTTTTCAATAATCCGAACTGTTAATATGTAGAACTCGTCGATTACTATATTCTTGTAAAAATCACATTGATCGGATATCGATAGCTATTTGATCAGATCAAATTTTTGTCAATCGTTTATTTTGTTACCGTTTATTTTTTTATACAAAATTGATCTGATCAAATTGCTATCGATATCCGATCAATGTGATTTTTTATAAGGTTATAATACTTGACGAGTTCTACATATTAAATAGTTTACATTATCGAAACGGAGCCCAAAAATAGGCCCACGAGCGGACTGGACGGTCTCTAACTGGAGACAAGTTGGACCGTTTTCAAAATTCCTATAATTATCAATGTGTGTCATCACTCATGTTGAGTTAGAAATTTTACATTTCTAGAAAGAATTTATGTATGAAAGTTAAAACAGTACAAGAACACTCCCATTATTTTCTCATGAGCAATATTAGGACTCAAAAAAATTATTAAAAATTTTACACAATATTATTTAAGTAGGCACCATGTAAATATTGTATGAGATTTTTGAAATATTTAACATTCATTTTTCTCAGTGACCAAACAATTTAAAAGTCAAAAATTCTATAACCCACCTTCGAAAGGAAGCTCGCTAGCATCAATGAGTTTCGGGACACAGAAGTAAGTCCAGAGAATGCAAGGACTAATAGTATCAAAATAGATAAGAGGACTTCCAACTTCTTCAGCGATTTCAAGGTTGAAATTCAAAACGCCATTTGCAATGATACAAGTCACTGGCCTCTCCCAACAGCAGTTGTGACGGCGGTTTCAAATATATATATGTGGGTGTTAATTTTCGACCTCACAACCAAATAGGGAACTTAGCTGAAGAGCACACGATAAAATAGATTAAACCAAGCACCTGTACACAAGAAAATGAGAATACTACGGTGACTCGTCCACCCGAGGACAGTTTGACAATCAAGTTAGTCAACAATCTCACACGATCTCAATCAGGGCACAAATAAAAGCATACCATAGATCCATGAAAGTGCCTTAGTTTTATAGCCAATAGTGCCCTCGTCCCCTAGAAGTCTCACTTCATAAGACTCAAGAACGATACTTATCTCGTACTCTTAGTTAGATATGGATGAGCTACTCAACAGCCTCATCCTTATCCGAACTAAGCGCATCACTTATCTATGACTCTTGTCCTCTATCCAAATATCTTAGATTCCGGTATTACCTGATAAGATAAAGAAATTGAGCTTTATTTCCTTCATTAAACAAACCAGAGGGTTCTTGTTCATTATATATACATATGATGCACTGTAACTACTAACTACCTAATCTAACCACACTTGCTTACAGTTAACTAACTATAGTTCTAATAGACTAACAGCTGGATCTGAGAAGGCTGCATTGAGCTGAGGTTGGAGCTGCAGCTGTAGCTATTCTGTGGATAACTAAGGCTGTTGTAGTGAGCTGAAGCTGGAGCTGCAACTAGAGCTACGGTGTTGATGTGAGTTGTTATTAGAGGACTTTTGCTCGTAGGAGCTTTAGGGCTCTGATACCATAAAGAAATTGAGCGTTATTTCCTTCATTAAACAACCCAGAGGGTTCTTGTTCATTATATATACATATGATGCAATGTAACTACTAACTACTTAATCTAACCACACTTGCTTACAGTTAACTAACTATAGTTCTAACAGACTAACAGTTGGATCTGAGAAGGCTGCATCGAGCTGAAGTTGGAGCTGTAGTTGTAGCTACTATGTGGATGACTAAGGCGGTTGTAGTGAGCTAAAGCTAGAGCTGTTGTGTTGATGGTTGCTACTCTGCTACTGCTGCTGCTGCTCTGTAGCTCTGTAACTAGGCATGGCTGCTGTTGTGCTACACACGGCTCAGCTGTAGCTATACATGACTCAGATACCTTATCATTACCGTACCAGATCTCGGCAATACTGTAACCACCTTGGCCTTCTAGTTCGCTCACGTAGCACTTCGACCAACACCTTGGCTACATTCCGGCCACGTGGCACAACCCTAAAAATACATCCCCACAATATATATATATATATATATACATAGAAAGAGAGAGAGAGAGAGAGAGAGAGAGAGAGAGAGAGAGATATTAGAATTTCATGATTCAGCACTAGACTCAGTGATTCAGTGTCGTTAGAGCTTCGTCGGTGTTGACAACGGAGAAGACCATATCTATTGCAAACTCTAACCAGATCTACTATGAAATCCAGATCCTTCAACGGAGGCGCAGCGATGGTGCAGGATGAGAGAAAGTCTAGATAAGCTGACGACATCTTCAAATCCTTCAACAGAGACCGACAGCGAGATCAACAGCCACGACGAGATCCTTCGACCTCGCTATGTGTGTTATTAGTGGTAAGGTAAGATGAGGGGAGAGAGAGAGATAGGTTTGTTGAACGTGTGTAGGCAGTAGTAAGGTCAGAGAGAGGGGTTTGTTGAAATGGGGTTGAACGGGGAAGAAAGAGGTGTATATATAGTGTGGGTACTTTAGTCATTTTGTGAGAGTTTGTCCTTTTGAATAATAAATAAATAAATAAATAATCAACGCCCGGATCTCTAGACAAATAAAATTTAATTTAGACTTTTGACCTGAACGCCATAAAATAAATAAATAATTAGAATCACTTTTAATTGTATGTTACTATTTTTCTTTTTAATTTAACTATTATTATTAAGGGTAAATTACGAATACATCCACTGAGATTTGCTTAAAACACAGATTGTTCCGTGTGGTTTGAAAAATTAAAAATACCCCCTTATTAGAATTTTTTATTTAATAGAATTAACTAAAAAAAATGAAATTCATAATTGCTCTCCTATACAATAATAAAATTACCTAAATTATTAATTGAAACATATTTTTAATATCACTAAAAACTGTTAATTGACTTGATGATTTATTAATAAAATGGGCGATTTGTTATGAAATTTGAAATCTTAGGGGGTGGAATGTAATTTTCAAAATCACAGAATACGATTCGTATTTTAATCAAACCTCAGGAAATGTATTTGTAATTTATCCTATTATTGATGTCAAATTGAGTGTTTATTTTACTACGTTATAATTTAATATGATTTTATATTTATTTCAATTACATTTTTATAGCACGATAAGGCTAATATTATTAAAATACACATAAATAATTCAAATAAATTTATTATATATATTTGTTTAATAGAACGATAAGGTTAAGATTATCAAAATAAATAATTAGAATCATTCTTTAATTTTAAATGATTTTTTTCTCCAATTTAATCCTTATTTTTAGTGTTAAAATAAATATTTATTTTATTATATTGAAATTAAGTAAGCATCATATATATATATTCTACCCTAAAAACTTGACTAAACTTTCAAGTAGTTTTTGCAAAATTTCTTACAAGTTCTGGTTTAGTTTTTCAGAGTTTCTATTCATCGTTTTTGAAAAATATCTAAAATGTTTCTCCAATCTGTTTCGGGACAAGAAATTGCACCAAAATTTTTAAAATAGTATCGTACTCAGAGCATATCTAACCATTATTGCTATAATGTCATTACTATTGCTATAATTTGACAATGAATAGTGCTATTTTGCCAAATTATAGCAATGGCGCTCCAATGATCATTTGTTATTTTGACAAATCTTAATCAACTTTTCCTCTAAGTTTGTAGGTATTGTTTGGATAAAGGTTTTTTTGTGATTTTATTTTTGTTTATTGTTTTGTCTTTGGTGACATTTTTTTAACTGTTTGTAAAAGAAATTATATATTTATATTATTCATGACTAAACAAATATAAAAAATGAAAAAAAAAATTGAAAAATTAGAAAAAATACTAAATATAATTCACCCCACCAAAAAACATATCACTACATATTTAATAAATTTTTTTAACTACACAAAAAATAAACAATCACCAATTACCAATCAACAATCATCCATCATTCACCCACAATTCATTCACCAACAACCACCCACCAACAACTATCCATTATTAACCGAGCATTCATTCACCAACAACTACCTACCCAACAATCATCCATTATTTATCCACCCACCCAACAACCACCCATTATTCATCCACTCACCCAACAACCATCCATTATTCATCCACCCACCCAACAACCATTCATCATTCACCCACCTACAATTTTCTCTATAAATATAACACAAGGTTTTCTACAATTTTCATATTCACCTACCCATCATTTTCATATCTTCTAAACTCTCTGTACCCACTCAAAATATTTTCTATAATTTTCATATTCACTCACTCACCCATCCACCTACAATCAACAATTTGACTAAAGCCATATTCAATGGAGAATTTGATGAATCTTCATCATCTGATGATGATATCATCATGATGCAACTGTTAACAACGCAACAACAAAGAATACAAGAGTTAAGCCTAAACCAACCAACTAGACGTGTTGGTTCCACAAGTAGTCGTCGATACATTAATCGTGAGAGGGTCAAAGGTGACGAACAAATTTATAAAAATTACTTTGCAGATAATCCTGTCTATCTAGAAGAATACTTCCGAAGACGTTTTCGAATGAGACGGTCATTGTTTGTTAGTATCTTACATAATATTCAACAAATGAATGAGTACTTCATCCAAACCCGCGATACCACTGGTACTCCTGGATTATCTAGTGTACATAAGATGACTGCAGCACTTCGGATCCTACAGTACGTCGTGCATGCTGATGTTGTAGATGAGTACATTAGAATCGGCGAAAGTACTGCAATTGCCGCCTTGAATTTTTTTACCAGATCAATTGTTGCTACCTATGAAGCCATTGACTTAAAATCCCCAAATGAAGCAGATGTCGCCAGATTATTTCAAGAGGGAGAGCAACGCGGGTTTCTTGGAATGTTAGGGAGTTTGGATTGTATGTACTAACATTAGGATAAATGTCTAACTGCCCAAGCCGGTGGTTACACTGGACACTACTACAAACCAACAGTTGTACTCGAGGCAGTTGTCTCCCATGACTTGTGGATTTGGCATACTTTTTTTGGCATGCCTAGCTCTCTAAATGATATTACTGTTCTTGACAGGTCGCCTTTATTTGCTGAATTAATTAGAGGACGTGCCCCTGCTGCCAACTACACCATCACTAATCACGCGTACACCATGGGTATTATCTTACTGATGGTATCTACCCTCATTGGGCAACAATTGTGAAAATAATATCTCAACCTCAAGGCACAAAGAGATAACTATTTGCGAGGATGCAAGAAGCATGTCGGAAGGATACCGAAAGGGCATTTGGAGTGCTCCAAGCACGATTTAATATTGTCAGAGTTCCAGCTAGAGATTGAAGTGATGAGGATCTGTACTACATCTTGAAGACGTGCATTATTTTGCACAATACGATCATTAAAAATGAGCGTAATAGTCCAGAAAATGAACGCAGTGCAGCACAACTCGAGACTGATACCAGTAATACCCATTATCAAGTGTTACGCAATCCGAATGAGGAGTATGCTCAATTTATGTTGAATCGGCAAAGGATTAGATCTACTGAAGCCCATAATGCAATTCATAATGATCTAATTGAACACTTGTGGTCCCAAGCTAGAGAGTTAGATTAAGTTTGTATTTTATCTTTTTAATAACAGTTAATGTCATTTAATGTCAGTTAATGTCTTTTTATTATAATAAAATTATCTTCATTTAATGTTAGTTAATGTATTTTATCTTTTTATTACCTGTGTAGTATTTTTTTAATAAAGACACTAAAAAAATATTATTTTTCTTAAAGAACTTTTAATAATTTTATTTATATAACTCTCCTTAGCCTTGATATAAATTAAGAAATAAACATACAAAATTTATAATGTTTGCTAAAAAAAAAGAAAAAGAAAAGAAAAGTCCTATATTTTATTTCACCAACAAAAAATAAAATAGTGAAATAAAAAAATATATATAAAAAAAATATTTCGGATAATATTATTTTAATTTGAAGGTGATAATTACTAAGTAACTTTTTTTTTTTTTTAATTTTTGAAAGTCTTGTATTCAATTGCATGCTTGTATTGCTCTCTTTACCCCCATAAATAATATATTCTTTTACACTTACAAAGTCCCGTCCAAGAAAAACCATATACAGCCAAAAATAAAAAAACAAACTGAGAGATAAAGGCATGGTGTAAATAATATTAAGATTCAAATGTAGTTATAATATTATAAAAATAAAAATAAAAATAAATAAACAAATAGGAAAAATTGTAATTTGTGAGAAAAATAAAAAGAAAAGAGAGAGGAAGGTGAGATCATGAGATCATGAGAGGATTTGTGAGAAAAGAACAAAGAAAGAGAGAGAAGCGGGAAAGTAAAAAATATATGCATAGAATATTTTTCAAAAAATATATCTCAGCTATTGTTTTATAATTTGAACAAATTTATGCTATAAATAAATCAAACTTGCCTATTCAAGAGCTATGTATCCAGAAGTCCCGGAATACTCTAGTGCATGCCCGTGCACAGTGAAAGTAATTTTGAGATTAAAATATACTTAATATAAAAGTATTGAATTAAAATGTAATTTAGCTAATTTGTTGTAAAAAAACAAAAAAACAAAATTTGAGGTCAAAATATAAATAGATTATCCATTTGATTTGAATTTTCAAATAAATTTTATAATTATGTTTTTGAAAAGAATTTATCAAACTTGACATTTTATTTGGTTGTATATTTTGAAAATAATTTTTACAAATTTAAAATCCAAAACATATTTAGTTTTGAAATTTTCAAAAATAGTTTTTAAAATTTACAATTTGAATTTTATTATTTTTAATAAATTTTTAAAAATATTTTAATCAAAATTTTTTATTTTTCAGATTCATTAAATCTGAATACACTTAAAAATTATAAAATTTACAGTAATGCTATAAAATTTACGCTTAAAAATTTTAAAAATAATTTTTATGAATTTAAAATAAAATTTAATAATTTTGCATGATTTATATGATTTTATGTATTTTGAGTATTTCAATTCAAATTATTATAAATAATGCATTAAAAAAAAAAAAAGAAGACAAAACAGAAAGAGTGAGGTGGTAGACAGCCACACCCAATAATTTTATCTCAAAGTGATATTTCTCCTCCCATGTTTGCACGGCTTACACGTTGGTCACTTTGATGTCACTTTGACGCCAACAGCTTCTCCCACCCACTCTCATTCTCTCTGTTTCTAACTCTCTCTACTATCTCTCATTCATCATTCTCTCTCTCTATCTTCCCTACTTTGTCTCTCTCATCTCTATAGAAACGTCTCTCTTTCTCATCATCACATCTCATCCTCTCTCATCTCTTGGCAAACTCTCATCTCAGAGATCTAATAGCAACCAAGTCTCATTCACATAATTTGCTCAAACAACTCCGAAGCAACTTGAACCCATCATTTGATTGTGTTGGGGATCGCAAGTGTCGGTGGCGGCGATGGAACTGGCAATGACAATCTAAATGGAGGGGAGGTTGTTAGAGGCGGTGATGAGCGTAGGTTGCTGCGATGATCTCGGTTGACTGTGGAGAAAGGGATAGCAGAGGAGGCAGCCATGATGGTGTCCAAAATCCAGAGCCCAATCCACCCATACCTATCAAAGCTCCCCCCCTTCCCACCCACACACACACACACACACACACACACCACCACTACACTGAAACCCAGATTTGTAATATAACTTTGTTAAATCACATAATCTGTAGCCCTTCATTGTCAAATCCACCTTACTAAATCACTTAGGCAATTACATGCACTCAAATTTTACCAAAGCAATTTTAAGCAGCGTCACTTCAAATTTTGCCAATGCAATTACATTCACTCATTCATGAGATTAATGTACAGCAAAGTCTACTTTCCTTCCTCCTTCGCTGCCACTACTCCGGCACAAACAGAACCCACAAAAAAAAAAAAAATCGAAACTCATTCTCTCTCCCCTTCATCTTCCACCACTCATTCTCTCTATCTGTGAGATACATCTTCCCTACTCTCTCTCTCTCTGTCTCATTTCTCCTCTCTCCAGAAACGTTGGTCTCTATCTAAGAGATCAAATAACCAACCTTTATCCCCTTTGTTATGCAGTAGACTGAGCAGCAGCGGTGGTAATCACTGGAAGAGGTGACTGGAGGAGGTGATGAGCACCACTATGGTTGGTTCATGAGACAATCGTCGGGAAGAGATGTATCGCCGTCGGAGAGAGATGTACCGTTGGTGTGATTGGAAGTAAGGCTGTGAGTGAGAGAGAGAGAGAGAGAGAGAGAGAGAGAAAGAGGGGGGGTGTTTTGAAATTTGAAAATTGGGAAGTGAGACTGGGAGAGAGAGAGAGAGATGAGAGTATATAGAGAGAGTGAGACCAGATGAGCATATCGTGGGTGCAAAATTTTAGGTTTATTTTTCACGTGTGCTCTTGGGCGGGAAGTTGAAGGTGATTGGCAGAGTTGATTCTCATCCCTACCGTTCATTCCAGTCAAAAATGAATCCTAACCATTCAAATGTCTTAATAGGACAATTGTCTCTAAGACAAATTTAAAAACTTTTGTGCCTTATTATATAGATATATATTTTTAAAAAATTATGTTATTTTGGTAAGAAAATCTATATTAAAATTTTGAATTTTTTTCCCATTATGATATGTTGCTCTAGACTAATGAAAACAATGCCACACTAGCTGTTGTTGGCCATGGAATTTTTTTATTTTTCACTACAACAAAAAATGATTTTTACGGCGCCAAATGCATGCCGTGGATATAATTCTATGACGCGCAAGGTAATATCTTATTATAACCAGTCATGGAGAGTCATTCATTTTCAATGGCATGCCGTAGTATGCCGCAAAAGCCCTTTAACAGTGCATTTTGTAAGTCGTGTTTAATTTTTCTACAACTATTTTTACATGCCGTTAAAAACCCTTTCATAGTGGATCTTGTATATCTTGTTTGATTTTTCTACAACTACTTTTGTGCTCTGTTAATTCTCGGGACAAATCACAACTCTCCTTGCTCGTAGTAAAATATGTAATACGACGACTTATTATGTCTGCCATAGAATATGCATATATTTTTTTTTTAATTCAACAGGTTCTATTTGACCAATTCTGTACAATTTAACAAACATTACAAACAAACCTCACAAAGCATCAATCAACCACCAAACCTCATAAAACATTAATCAACTATCATAATATTATTGTGCAGAATTAAATGCCTAACAAATAGGGAAATGTCATTAGCAGAGTAATATTACACGGGAAAAAATTAATTAGTAATACCGTTCATACCACGCTTTATATTTTTTACTTTTTTTTTTTTGGAAAATTGCTGAAAAAATTTTAAAAAAATATTAAAGAGTTAAAAATGTATCATTAATTAAAACTATTAAAAAATTATAAAAAATGACATAATTGAATAGTGAGTTAGGGTGTCAGGGTGTCATTTTTTAGGTAACTTCGTAACTGACATTAATTAAATTATTTAAAAAATTATAAAAATGACGTAATTGAATTGTGAGCCCGGGTGTCAATTTTTTAGGTTAACTTCGTGAATATATCAACAAATTATGAGCGCTCGCATAGGTAAGTACGTAAATTTTTTATTAAACTGAGGATGAGACTATATTTTTTTGGTAAGTAAGCAAATTTATCATTGAATTGCGGACGTGTAATTTTATAAAATCGAACTAATTAAGATGCGTTCAAATATTTTTTTTATTTATAAAAATTATGTTATTTTGGTAAGAAAATTTGTTACCTAAAAAGCAACCTAAGAAGGGGGTGAATTAGGTTTCTACAAATTAAAATTAATAATACCACAATAAAATTAACTACTAGTATAACAAATTATTAACAAGCACAATGATGAACTTAACAGTAAATGATCAAGAAAAATAACAATGAAGTATAACTAACATACATGATAAATCAAATGATTAACACATGAATATTAGATAGTTATAGCAGTAGTAGGAAAGTAAGGGGATTAGGGAAGAGGAGACAAACAGATTTATAGTGGTTTGACTTCAACCAAGCCTACATTCACTCCTCAAGTTTCACTTGAGATTTTTCACTATCTTCTAACTTCACAGGGGTGCTAGCAACCTCATAAACATGAAACAATCCTCCGTAGATTTTACACAGATTTCACAAGCCCAAACCCTTGCAAATCTTAGGTGACTTACAATCACT